CCGAAAACGTTTCAAACCCCGCCAAAAAGGAAACCCGTTTTGTGAAGAAATTTTTTCGAAAAAACCCCTTTCCTAAACAAAACCGGCAAAATTTTTTTAAAATTGTTTTTTGGATTAAAAATTTAAAATTGAAAAAACAAAACAAAAACCCCCAAAAGGGTTTGGGGCAAATTAAATTTGGCGAAAATAAAAAGGTCGGGTAAATTTTTCAAAGGTGCTTTGGTCAAGGAAAAATTTTTTAAAAACCCATAAATGAAAAAAATATCTTTGCGATAACGAAAATTTTAAAAAGGGCCCAAAATTTTTAAATGGTTTTTGCAAATTTGATTTTTTTTAAAACCCTATTCGGCACGTTTTAAATATAAAAATAAATTTTAAAAAAAAATAATAAAATAAAAATTTTTAAATTTTTAAAAATAGGTAGAATTTTGGGTAGCCCAGCAACCCCCCCAGGGAAGTACACCGCCCTGCCAGTTTACTGAGAAACAAAAACCCTTTGAAACCTGTTTTGAAATGGGGTTTGGATTGCTGGTTTTTTTTTCGGCTCATAAAAAACGCTAAAACCCAGGGATTTTTTGGGCTACTCCTACTTACACTTTGGTCACACTTCACAACATGCACATGCATATATATATATACAAAAACCATACATCTATTTTTTCTCCTTTTCCAAATGGGGCTCGGGGGTTTTTTCTTTATTTTTTCATTGTCCGGGGGAAGGGGAAAAGAACTTTCCTCCGTAAGCCAGGGCGTGTCGAAATGAGGCGACTAAAATCCCGGGGACAAGGGGCTAGAAACCCCCTTCTCCTGTAGACATTTACTAAAAAAGAGAAGAAGAAAAACTTTATAAAACTGGGATGCCCTTTAAAAGTGCGTGGATTTTAGTGCGGATGACAAGAAACAGATGATTGCTGGGTTATTAAAAAAAAAGAAGTTGGGTGTCCCAGCCCTAAGCGAAAAAAAGCGAAGGGGGTTTGGGGGGTTTTCGGTGGGGGGAAATAAATGGGTTTTTAAACTGGAGTAACTGAGAGAGTTAAAAGCTAAGGAAGGGGTAGCAATAATGTTGAAGGATCAGCAAAGGAAGGAGAAAAGAGAATAAGAATGTGAAATTTTAAGGATTATGTGGATTAAAGTAAAGGTTGGGTGGGGAAAAGGGGGGTTAAAAGTAAACGTGTATGGGACCTGGAGAAAGAGAATGTGAGGGGAGAGAAGGAAAAGATTTTGGGGGGGTTTTAAATGAATGTAAAGGAACCCTTTTAAACCCAAATGAGAGAGTAATTGTTGGGAGGGGGCCTGAATTTCTAAAGTAGGGGAAAAATTTTTGAGAGGGTGTTGGGAGGTAAGTTTTGGGGGGCCAGGGGTTTTTTGATAATGGGAGGGCCCCTTTTAAATTGGGAAATTTGGGGGAAAAAAAGGGGTTTTTTTTTAGGTAAACATATTTTTAAAAAAAAGGATACAAAAAGCATACAAGACTTTATGTAGGGGGAAAGACAGAGTTTGCTGGATTATGTATTGGTAGATAAAAAAACGTTAGTAACTTCAGGGTGTACATGTTTTTTTAGAGGGGGCCAAAAAATATATCAGATCACTTTCCAATTTAGCACCTGAGAGTAAAAGGTAGATGGGATACAAGGGGGAATAGAAGCATCAGGGAAGAGAGAGGTGAAGGTTTATAAACTAAAAGAGGAGGCAGTTAGGGTAAGATATAAACAGCTATTGGAGGATAGATGGGCTAATGCGAGCATAGGCAATGGGGTCGAAGAGGTATGGGGTAGGTTTAAAAATGTAGTGTTAGAGTGGCCAGCAAAAGTTTGAGGTTACAGGAAAGTGGGTGCAGGAGGGAAGAGGAGCGATTGGTGGAATGATAATGTAAAGAGAGTAGTAAGGGAGAAAAAGTCAGCATATGAGAAGTTTTTACAAGTGATGCAAGGAGGGAAGAGTATATGGAGAAAAAGAGAGAGGTTAAGAGAGTGGTGAAGCAATGTAAAAAGAGAGCAAATGAGAGAGTGGGTTAGATGTTATCAACAAATTTTGCTGAAAATAAGAAAAAGTTTTGGAGTGAGATTAACAAGTTAAGGAAGCCTAGAGAACAAATGGATTTGTCAGTTAAAAATAGGAGAGGAGAGTTATTAAATGGAGAGTTAGAGGTATTGGGAAGATGGAGGGAATATTTTGAGGAATTGTTAAATGTTGATGAAGATAGGGAAGCTGTGATTTCGTGTATAGGGCAAGGAGGAATAACATCTTGTAGGAGTGAGAAAGAGCCAGTTGTGAGTGTGGGGGAAGTTCGTGAGGCAGTAGGTAAAAATGAAAGGGGGTAAAGCAGCTGGAATTGATGGGATAAAGATAGAAATGTTAAAAGCGGGTGGGGATATAGTTTTGGAGTGGTTGGTGCTATTATTTAATAAATGTATGGGAAAGGGTAAGGTACCTAGGGATTGGCAGAGAGCATGCATAGTTCTTTTGTATAAATGCAAAGGGGACAAAAGAGAGTGCAAAAATTATAGGGGGATAAGTCTGTTGAGTATACCTGGTAAAGTGTATGGTAGAGTTATTATTGAAAGAATTAAGAGTAAGACGGAGAATAGGATAGCAGATGAACAAGGAGGCTTTAGGAAAGGTAGGGGGTGTGTGGACCAGGTGTTTACAGTGAAACATATAAGTGAACAGTATTTAGATAAGGCTAAAGAGGTTTTTGTGGCATTTATGGATTTGGGAAAGGCGTATGACAGGGTGGGTAGGGGGGCAATGTGGCAGATGTTGTAGGTGTATGGTATAGGAGGTAGGTTACTGAAAGCAGTGAAGAGTTTTTAGGAGGGCAGTGAGGGAGATTATTTCCCAGTAAAAGTAGGTCTTAGACAAGGATGTGTGATGTCACCGTGGTTGTTCAATATATTTATAGATGGGGTTGTAAGAGAAGTAAATGCGAGGGTCTTTGCAAGAGGAGTGGAGTTAGAAGATAAAGAATCACACATAAAGTGGGAGTTGTCACAGTTGCTCTTTGCTGATGACACTGTGCTCTTGGGAGATTTTGAAGAGAAGTTACAGATGTTGGTGGATGAATTTGGTAGGGTATGTAAAAGAAGAAAACTAAAAGTGAATACAGGAAAGAGTAAGGTTATGAGGATAAGAAAAAGATTAGGTGATGAAAGATTGGATATCAGATAGGAGGGAGAGAGTATGGAGGAGGTGAATGTATTCAGATATTTGGGAGTGGACGTGTCAGCGGATGGGTCTATGAAAGATGAGGTGAATCATAGAATTGATGAGGGGAAAAGGGTGAGCGGTGCACTTAGAAGTCTGTGGAGACAAAGAACTTTGTCCCTGGAGGCAAAGAGGGGAATGTATGAGAGTATAGTTTTACCAACGCTCTTATATGGGTGTGAAGCATGGATGATGAATGTTGCAGCGAGGAGAAGGCTGGAGGCAGTGGAGATGTCATGTCTGAGGGCAATGTGTGGTGTGAATATAATGCAGAAAATTCGTAGTTTGGAAGTTAGGAGGAGGTGCGGGATTGCCAAAACTTCTCCAGAGGGCTGAGGAAGGGTTGTTGAGGTGGTTCGGACATGTAGAGAGAATGGAGCGAAACACAATGATTTCAAGAGTGTATCAGTCTGTAGTGGAAGGAAGGCGGGGTAGGGGTCGGCCTAGGAAAGGTTGGAGGGAAGGGGTAAAGGAGGTTTTGTGTGCGAGGGGCTTGGACTTCCAGTGGGCATGCGTGAGCGTGTTTGATAGGAGTGAATGGAGACAAATGGTTTTTAATACTTGACGTGCTGTTGGAGTGTGAGCAAAGTAACATTTATGAAGGGATTCAGGAAAACCGGCAGGCTGGACTTGAGTCCTGGAGATGGGAAGTACAGTGCCTGCACTCTGAAGGAGGGGTGTTAATGTTAAAGTTTAAAAACTGTAGTGTAAAGCACCCTTCTGGCAAGACAGTGATGGAGTGAATGATGGTGAAAGTTTTTCTTTTTTGGGCCACCCTGCCTTGGTGGGAATCGGCCAGTGTGTTAATAATAATAATGAGATATATATATAATATATATATATATATATATATATATATATATATATATATATATGATTGTTGTTGAATGAGTCAGATGTTTGACCACAAGAGAAAGGTTCGTATATGATAATTCCCGGTAATATTAAGCTCTTCCCACATAGCTAACATTACAGTTAAAATGAATGAACTGACACACAGCACTGGAGCTCAGAGGAGCTCTAATAACAACTTTAAACTTAAAATGATTATTAATAGTAACTGGGTTCATACAAATTAATTTACTAGATTCTAGTAATTTAGAATATTGTACCTTAATATTCTAAGTCGCATGTCTAAAATAGGGACGTTTAATGCAGCACATATCCTTAGGAACTTTAAATATATTGTGTTTGAGAAATTATGTTCTGGGAAGGATTTCAAAATGTTCTAAAATACTGGTAGTGGATTGATATCACTTTAAAACAAAAATCTTCTATAATTGAACTTCAGTGTCACGTTGATAATATTCGTCAGCTATAAAGATTAAACTGCTACAAAAGAGTTATACTCGAGTATATTTAATGTAAATTAACTAGAAATAAATCCACACGATTTTATGAAAAGAAATTGTATGTTTATTGTGTTGGTCAGTGTTAAAACCCTCGACTTGTATTATTCTTTAAAATTAAGTAGAAGAAGCGTTTGACAGTTGTCAAATTCATTGCAGGAAACTCAGAATTAATTTTATAACTTTTATAATAGAGCACCTGCACATGACGACACTTGTATTAACCAGTAAACCAACATTGAAAGTTGAAGCCGATTGGATGAAGTGTTCCCAAGGTGTAAACGTAAGACTGAGGGAAATAAAAAAAAATCAGGCAACTACTTAAGTTACTCCTTCTGGGAACCTGACAATAAAGAAATAAAGTTTAAAGACATATTATTATTTGCTGGGTAACGCTGAATGGCCCATACGGGTTTAACGCAGTTTTAATGTATTTGTGCGTTTCAGCGGGCAGAGATGGCCATCACGGACCTGACCATCAATTACCAGAGGGAACAAGCAGTAGACTTCACTATGCCTTTCATGAACATGGGTATCTCTATACTGTACAAGAAACCACAGAAGATGGCGCCTTCTCTCTTCTCCTTCCTCTCGCCTCTCTCTCTGGAGGTGTGGATGTATATGATCACTGCTTATGTTGGTGTCTCAGTGCTTCTCTACATCCTGGCTAGGTAAGTCTCTCTGTCTCACTCTAAAACAAACACACACACACACACACACACACACACACACACACACACACACACACACACACACACACACACTTTTTAAGAGAGGAGACAAAACCGAGGCACTAAACTATAGACCTGTGTCACTGACGTGTATAGTGTGCAAAGTCATGGAGAAGATTATCAGGAGGAGAGTGGTGGAGCACCTGGAACGGAACAAGCTTATAAACGACAACCAGCACGGATTCATGGAAGACAAATCCTGTGTCACAAACCTACTTGAGCTTTATGACAAGATAACGGAAGTAAGAAAAGAGAGAGAGGGGTGGGTAGATTGCATTTTCTTGGACTGTAAGAAGGCCTTCTACACAGCTCCTCACAAGAGGTTAGTGCAAAAGCTAGAGGATCAGGCACGTATAACAGGAGGGGCACTGCAATGGATCAGACAATACCTGACAGGGAGGCAACCAGTCATGGCACGTGGCGAGGTATCACAGTGGGCGCCTGTGACGAGTAGGGTTCCACAGGGGTCAGTCCTAGGACCAGTGCTATTTTTGGTATATGTGAATAACATGACGGAAGGGGCAGACTCAGAAGTGTCCCTGTTTGCAGATGATGTGAAGTTAATGAGGAGAATTCAATCGGACGAGGATCAGGCAGGATTACAAAGAGACCTGGACAGGCTGCAACCTGGTCCAGCAACTGGCTTCTCGAATTTAACCACGCCAATTGCAAAGTCATGAAGATCAGGGAAGGGCAAAGAAGACCGCAGACAGAGTATAGGATAGGCGGCCAAAGAGTGCAAACCTCACTCAAGGAGAAGGATCTTGGGGTGAGTATAATATCGAGCACATCTCCTGAAGCGCACAACCATTTAACTGCTGTAGCATATGGGCGCCTGGCAAACCTGAGAATAACGTTCCGATACCTCAGTAAGGAATCGTTCAAGACTCTATACACCGTGTACGTCTGGCACATACTGGAGTATGCAGAACCAGTTTGGAACCCACACCTGGTCAAGCACGTCAAGAAATTAGAGAAAATGCAAAGGTTTGCAACAAGGCTGGTTCCAGAGCTAAGGGAAATGTCCTACGAAGAAAGGTTAAGGGAAATCGGCCTGCTGACTCTAGAGGACAGGAAGGTTAGGAGAGACATGATAATGACATACAAAATACTGCGTGGAATAGATAAGGTGGATAGAGACAGGATGTTCCAGAGATGGGACACAGCAACAAGAGGACACAGTTGGAAGTTGAAGACACAGATGAATCACAGGGATGTTAGGAAGTATTTCTTCAGTCACAGAGTTGTTAGGAAGTGAAATAGTTTGGGAAGTAATGTAGTGGAGGCAGGATCCATTCATAACTTTAAGCAGAGATATGATAAAGTTCATGGTGCGGGGAGAATGACCCAGTAGCGGCCAGTGAAGAGGCGGGGTCAGGAGCTATGACTCGACCCCTGCAACCACAACTAGGTGAGTACACACACACACACACACACACACACACACACACACACACACACACACACACACATACACACTTAAACACACACACACACACTCATGAGGTATTATGTTTCAGGTTCACACCATATGAGTGGCAGAACCCACACCCGTGTGACCCAGACCCTGACACTCTGGAGAACCAGTTCACTATCCTCAACTGTCTGTGGTTCGCCATCGGTTCCCTCATGCAACAAGGCTGCGACTTCCTGCCCCAGTAAGTGACACCAACCTGTTTTTCGTTATCCTTTCAAGGGGGGGGGGGTAACTGCTTTCTTGCCAGGGATGGATAGGGCTCTTCTTCCAAGGAAATGGAGCTATTTTTTCCCTTCATGCAAACCTAATTATTTCTCATTCCCCAGGTACTGCATATTCCCTAGGCGTTTAGCGCTTCCCAATTAATATAACTTAAGCTTGTCTTGATAGGAAGAGTGCAGCATTTGTCACTTCCCTTTCTCCAGTCTTACTGCTGACTGGATAAAGAATAGGTCACAATATTACAAAGACCAATTTTAGCTGTTGTTTCCTGATGAATGGACCCACTGTAGCTGTTTCCTGATGATTGGACCCATTTATCTGTTGTTTCCTGTTGACTGGACCCATTTATTTGTTGTTTCCTGATGACTGGACCCAGTTATCTCTTGTTTCCTGATGATTGAACCCATTTTACCTGCTTCCTGACGAATGGACCATTTTAACTGTTGTTTTCTTATGAGTGAACCCATTTTAGCTATTGTTTCCTGGTGAATGGACCCATTTTAAATGTTTCCTGGTGAATGGACCTATTCTAGCTATTTCCTGATGAATAAACCCATTTTAGCGGTTATTTCTTGATGAATGAACCCATTTTAGTTGTTGTCTCGTAATGAATGCAACATGACACCCAGCTTCATACCCTGGGTGCAACTTACACCTTCCATCACCCTCTCCGTGGCCGGCAGGGCAGTGTCAACACGCATGGTGGCCGGTATGTGGTGGTTCTTCACCCTCATTATGATCTCCTCATACACTGCCAACCTAGCCGCTTTCCTCACGGTGGAGCGCATGGAGTCGCCCATTGAGTCAGCGGAAGACCTGGCCAAGCAGACCAAGATCAAGTACGGCTCTCTTTTGAGCGGCACCACCACCTCCTTCTTCAGGTAGGTCACCTGAATGAAGTGTACGAGTCTCCAAGCATAAGTTGTCTGAAGGAAGGACAACCAAGGTACCTCCTGTGATACCAACTTTCCTAAACCACGGGCGGTAACTCTCATGATGGAAGGTCTAATACTCCTAGGTGTTGTGAAGGTAGCATCGATGATGGAAGTTCTAATACTCCTAGGTGTTGTGAAGGTAGCATCTATGATGGAAGGTCTAATACTCCTAGGTGTTATGAAGGTAGCATCTATGATGGAAGGTCTAATACTCCTAGGTGTTATGAAGGTAGCATCTATGATGGAAGGTCTAATACTCCTAGGTGTTATGAAGGTAGCATCTATGATGGAAGGTCTAATACTCCTAGGTGTCATGAAGGTAGCATCTATGATGGAAGGTCTAATACTCCTAGGTGTTATGAAGGTAGCATCTATGATGGAAGGTCTAATACTCCTAGGTGTTATGAAGGTAGCATCTATGATGGAAGGTCTAATATTCCTAGGTGTCATGAAGGTAGCATCTATGATTTGGGAAAGGGCTAATACTCCTAGGTGTTATGAAGGTAGCATCTATGATGGAAGGTCTAATACTCCTAGGTGTTATGAAGGTAGCGTCTATGATGGAAGGTCTAATACTGTTATGTCTTCTGAAGCTTGTAGGCTCAAGATAGTTTACTGTTCTTAAATAGTTAGACAAAGTGATATTGTCACCGACTTCATAATTGCATTGATTATCTGTCCTGAAAAAAAAGGACAGGGAATATAATTGATTTCCTGTGAGGTTGTCTTGCTGAACAATATCCTATGTGAAGTTGTCATGCTGAACAGTATTCTATGTGAGGTTGTCATGCTGAACAATATTCTGTGAGGTTGTCATACTGAACAATATTCTGTGAGGTTATGCTGAACAATATTCTGTGAGGTTGTTATGCTGAACAATATTCTGTGAGGTTGTCATGCTGAACAATATTCTGTGAGGTTGTTATGCTGAACAATATTCTGTGAGGTTGTTATGCTGAACAATATTCTATGTGGGGTTATCATGCTGAACAATATTGTGAGGTTATCATGCGAACAATAATCTGTGAGGTTGCCATGCTGAACAATATTTCATGTGAGGTTATCATGCTGAACAATAATCTGTGAGGTTGCCATGCTGAACAATATTCTGCATGAGGTTATCATGCTGAACAATATTCTGCATGAGGTTGTCATGCTGAACAATATTCTATGTGAGGTTGTCATGCTGAACAATATTCTGTATAAGGTTGTCATGCTGAACAATATTCTATGTGAGGTTGTCATGCTGAACAATATTCTATGTGAGGTTGTCATGCAGAACAATCTTCTATGTGAGGTTGTCATGCATAACAATCTTCTATGTGAGGTTGTCATGCAGAACAATCTTCTATGTGAGGTTGTCATGCAGAACAATCTTCTATGTGAGGTTGTCATGCTGTACAATATTCTATGTGAGGTTGTCATGTTGAACAATAATCTTGGGGAGTAAATAATGTGACAACATATGCAGAGTTACCTGCGACACACGAATATGTCCTGTCACCAGTCTGTCTTCTGAACAATCATTTACGTGAGGTGTCTGCTGAACATAATCGATAAGGTTTCATGCGAACAATACCTGTGAGTATGCTGAACAATACATGTTGGTTTCATCGACCTTCACGTATTGTCATCATTATACAATCTCGTATTAATTATGAAAAAATGAATGAGTTGTATTGAAACTACATGTTCATGAATTCACGTACATCTAATTAATTAAACAAACTATGTTCAGAACATAATTGGGTTCACTTTCCGACTCATTCCGCTTATACAAGATTATTCAGTTGATCGACCAGTCCCTCAATCTAACCATTAATCCAACAGTAGTCGTCAAGTTAGTGCCAGTACGACTTACCTCTCCACATCTTACTCTATCACAACATCTCTCGTCAACTTCTAACTCGACACCATCATCCACATTCTCACCGTATCACATCATATCACCTCACATTACGTTAAATAATGAATCATTTGATTACCATGTTACCATACCACAATTCCATCCACATCTTATCCATTATCCACATTTCCTCCTACTACATACATTCCCTCACATCAATACCATTACCGACATTCCCGTCACATATACCATTATGCACCATTCCTCCACAGCTACCATTACCACCATCCCTCCACTATCTACATTCCACTTATCTCTCACATCTAACATTACCACACATTCCATCCAACATCTACCATTACACCATTGCCCTCCACATCGTTAACCATACTACATTCCTCTTCACATTACCCTACCACCATTCCCTCCACATCTACCATTACCACCATTCCCTCCACATCTACCATTACCACCATTCCCTCCACATCTACCATTACCACCATTCCCTCCACATCTACCATTACCACCATTCCCTCCACATCTACCCATTACCACCATTCCCTCCACATCTACCATTACCACCATTCCCTCCACATCTACCATTACCACCATTCCCTCCACATCTACCATTACCACCATTCCTCCACATCTACCATTACCACCATTCCCTCCACATCTACCATTACCACCATTCCCTCCACATCTACCATTACCACCATTCCCTCCCATCTACCATTTCATACCAACCAATTCCCTCCACACTACATACCCATTACCATACCACATTCCCTCCACATCTACCATTACCACCATTCCCTCCACATCTACCATTACCACCATTCCCTCCACATCTACCATTACCCATTCCCCCACATCTACCATTACCACCATTCCCTCCACATCTACCATTACCACCATTCCCTCACATCTACCATTACACCATTCCCTCCACATCTACCATTACTACCATTCCCTCCACATCTACCATTTACCACCATTCCCTCCACATCTACCATTACCACCATTCCCTCCACATCTACCATTACACCATTCCCTCCACATCTACCATTACCACCATTCCCTCCACATCTACCATTACCACCATTCCCCTCCACATCTACCATTACACCATTCCCTCCACATCTACCATTACACCCATTCCCTCCACATCTACCATTACCACCATTCCCTCCACATCTACCATGTCACTACCATTCACTTCCCCCACATCTACCATTACCACCATTCCCTCCACATCTACCATTACATCACCATTCCCTTCCACATCTACCATTACCACCATTCCCTCCACATCTACCATTACATACCCTTCCCTCCACATCTACCATTACCACCATTCCCTCCACATCTACCATTCCGTCCACATCTACCATTACCACCATTCCCTCCACATCTACCATTACCACCATTCCCTCCACATCTACCATTTACACAAACCATTCCCTCCACATCTACCATTACCCACCATTCCCTCCACATCTACATTACCACCATTCCCTCCACATCTACCATTACCACCATTCCCTCCCAACATCTACCAATTACCATCCATTCCCTCCACATCTACCATTACCACCATTCCCTCCACATCTACCATTACACCATTCCCTCCACATCTACCATTACCACCATTCCCTCCACATCTACCATTACCACCATTCCCTCCACATCTACCATTACCACCATTCCCTCCACATCTACCATTCCACCATTCCCTCCACATCTACCATTACACCATTCCCTCCACATCTACCATTACCACCATTCCCTCCACATCTACCATTACCACCATTCCCTCCACATCTACCATTACCACCATTCCCTCCACATCTACCATTACCACCATTCCCTCCACATCTACCATTACCACATCCCTACTCTACATTACACCATTCCCTCCACATCTACCATTACCACCATTCCCTCCACATCTACCATTACCACCATTCCCTCCAATCTACCATTACCACCTTCCCTCCACATCTACCATTGACACCATTCCCTCCACATCTACACCTACTACCTCCCCACATCTACCATTACCACCATTTCCTCCACATCTACCATTGCCACCATTCCCTCCACATCTACCATTCCCTCCACATCTACCATTACCACCATTCCCTCCACATCTACCATTACCACCATTCCCTCCACATCTACCATTACCACCATTCCCTCCACATCTACATTACCACCATTCCCTCCACATCTACCATTACCACCATTCCCTCCACATCTACCATTACCACCATTCCCTCCACATCTACCATTACCACCATTCCCTCCACATCTACCATTACCACCATTCCCTCTACATCTACCATTACTACCATTCCCTCCACATCTACCATTACCACCATTCCCTCCACATCTACCATTACCACCATTCCTCCACATCTACCATTACCACGATTCCCTCCACATCTACCATTACCACCATCCCCTCCACATCTACCATTACTACCATTCCCTCCACATCTACCATTACTACCATTCCCTCCACATCTACCATTACCACCATTCCCTCCACATCTACCATTACTACCATTCCCTCCACATCTACCATTACTACCATTCCCTCCACATCTACCATTACCACCATTCCCTCCACATCTACCATTACTACCATTCCCTCCACATCTACCATTACTACCCTTCCCTCCACATCTACCATTACCACCATTCCCTCCACATCTACCATTCCGTCCACATCTACCATTACCACCATTCCCTCCACATCTACCATTACCACCATTCCCTCCACATCTACCATTACCACCATTCCCTCCACATCTGCCATTACCACCATTCCCTCCACATCTGCCATTACCACCATTCCCTCCACATCTACCATTACCACCATTCCCTCCACATCTACCATTACACCATTCCCTCCACATCTACCATTACACCATTCCTCCACATCTACCATTACCACCATTCCCTCCACATCTACCATTACCACCATTCCCTCCACATCTACCATTACCACCATTCCCTCCTACATCTACCATTACCACCATTCCCTCCACATCTACCATTACCATTCCCTCCACATCTTAACCATATTACTATACCATTCCCTCCACATCTACCATTACTACCATTCCCTCCACATCTACCATTACCACCATTCCCTCCACATCTACCATTACTACTATTCCCTCCACATCTACCATTACTACCATTCCCTCCACATCTACCATTACCACCATTCCCTCCGCATCTACCATTACTACCATTCCCTCACATCTACCATTACTACCATTCCCTCTACATCTACCATTACTACCATTCCCTCTACATCTACCATTACTACCATTCCCTCACATCTACCATTACACCATTCCCTCCACATCTACCATTACTACCATTCCCTCCACATCTACCATTACCACCCTCCCTCCACATCTACCATTACCACCATTCCCTCCACATCTAACCATTACCACCATTCCCTCCACATCTACCATTACCACCATTCCTCCACATCTAACCATTACTACTACCATTCCCTCCACATCTACCATTACACCATTCCCTCCACATCTACCATTTCTACCCATTCCCTCCACATCACATTACACCATTCCCTCCACATCTACCATTACCACCATTCCCTCCACATCTACCATTACCACCATTCCCTCCACATCTACCATTACCACCATTCCCTCCACATCTAATACCCCATTCCCTCCACATCTACCATTCCCTCCACATCTACCATTCCCCCACATCTACCATTACCAACCATTTCCCTCCTCACATCTACCATTACCACCATTCCCTCCACATAACCATTACCACCAACACCATTCCCTCCTCACATCTACCATTACACCATTCCCTCCACATCTACCATTTACTCTACCATTCCCTCCACATCTACCATTACCACCATTACCCTCCACTCTACCATTACCACCATTCCCTCCACATCTACCATTACCACCATTCCCTCCACATCTACCATTACCACCATTCCCTCCACATCTACCATTACCACCATTCCCTCCACATCTACCATCATGCTCATTTTCGTCACCAACAGCACCTTCACTGTATTCACCATCACCCACACCATGCCATCTTCACCCCGTCGCTGTTATTACCACAGAAATGTAGTGTATACACACTAAATTTCACCCATCTTTGTACAATCATTGTATCATGCTGAAACAAATGATTATTATTATTACTATTATTATTATTATTATTATTATTATTATTATTATCATCATCATCATCATCATCACCATGGTTGCCATCCTTACCATTATGGCTACCTTAACTTACCGTTAATGCCATCATCAATAATAATTTTGATTTTTATTATTATCATGGTTATTGTAATTAATATAATTTGTTTTGGCATCGCTATCTGAATTCAGACGCTCCTCATACGAGCGAATTGCAGTCTCAAATTCGTAACGCATGCAGCGTTAGTATTCCATTGTTGTTGACTTCGTGTCTCCCGCAGGAGGAGAATGGGCTGTACGCCTACCTGATGGAGTCCTCCTCCATTGAATATATTACTGAGAGGAACTGTGATCTGACTCAGGTGGGAGGTCTGCTTGACTCCAAGAGTTACGGCATTGCTCTTCCCCCGGGTGAGCTACACTACCTCCACCAGTTCTAACTCCACTCGTTCCACTTCCACTAGTTCTACCTCCACTAGTTCTGCTTCCACTAGTTCTACCTCCACTAGTTCTACCTCCATTAGTTCCACTTCCACTAATTCTACCTCCACTAGTTCTACCTCTACTAGTTCTACCTCCACTAGTTCTACCTCCATTAGTTCCACTTCCACTAATTCTACCTCCACTAGTTCTACCTCCACTAGTTCTACCTCCATTAGTTCCGCTTCCACTAGTTCTACCTTCACTAGTTCTACCTCCACTAGTTCTACCTCCATTAGTTCCACTTGACTAATTCTACCTCCACTAGTTCTGCCTCCACTAGTTCTACCTCCATTAGTTCCACTTCCACTAGTTCTGCCTCCATTAGTTCCGCTTCCACTAGTTCTACCTCCACTAGTTCTACCTCCACTAGTTCTACCTCCACTAGTTCTACCTCCACTAGTTCTGCCTCCATTAGTTCCGCTTCCACTAGTTCTACCTCCACTAGTTCTCCATTAGTTCCACTTCCACTAGTTCTACCTCTACTAGTTCTACCTCCATTAGTTCCACTTCCACTAATTCTACCTCCATAGTTCACCTCACAGTTCTCCTCCATTAGTTCCGCTTCCACTAGTTACCTCACTAGTTCTACCTCCATTAGTTCCACTTCACTAGTTCTACACTCCACTAGTTCTACCTCTACTAGTTCTACCTCTACTAGTTCTACCTCCATTAGTTCCACTTCCACTAATTCTACCTCCACTAGTTCTACCTCCACTAGTTCTACCTCCACTAGTTCTACCTCCATTAGTTCCACTTCCACTAGTTCTACCTCCACTAGTTCTACCTCCACTAGTTCTACCTTCACTAGTTCTACCTCCACTAGTTCTACCTCCACTAGTTCTACCTCCACTAGTTCTACCTCCATAGTTCTACCTCCATTAGTTCCACTTCCACTAGTTCTACCTCTACTTCCACTATTTCCACTTCCACTAGCACTACCTCCATTAGTTCTACCTCAGCTAGTTCTACCTCCACTAATTCTACATCAACTAGTTCTACCTCCATTAATTCTACTTCCACTAGTTCTACCTCCACTAGTTCTACCTCCACTAGTTCTATCTCCACTGGTTCTACCTCCATTAGTTCTCCCTCCTAGTTCTACTTCCACTAGTTCGATTTCCACTAGTTCCACTTCCACTAGTTCTGCCTCCATTAGTTCTACCTCCACTAATTCCACTTCCACTAGTTCTAACCCCATTAGTTCTACCTCTGGTTCCACTTCCACTAGTTCTACCTCCACTAGTTCTACCTCCGCTAGTTCTGCCTCCACTAGTTCTTCCTCCATTAGTTCCACTTCCACTAGTTCTACCTCCACTAATTCCACTTCCACTAGTTCTAACCCCATTAGTTCTACCTCTGGTTCCACTTCCACTAGTTCTTCCTCCATTAGTTCTACCTCCACTAGTTTCACCTCCACTAGTTTCACCTCCACTAGTTTCACCCCCACTAGTTTCACCTCCACTAGTTGCATTTCCTCTATTTCCACCTCCACTAGTTCTACCTCCACTAGTTCCACCTCCACTGATTTCGCCTCCTCTAGTTTCACTAATTCTATTTCCACCAGTGTTGTTCCACCAGTGTTGTTCCAACAAGACTATTTCTCACACGTTTCACGTACACCATTTATGGGTACCAGACTAAATTTTTCCCCCTGCGGTTAGTGAAGCCTCCACTACAACTTGCCCTGAATAACCCACACGAGTTTAGAGCTTCATGTAAATATAATGTGTCACCATTTTTCCAGATGGGCCCCACGGGTTTATACCGGAATCTTTCGTGGGTTTTAAGTGTTCCTATGTTGCCTATGATACACATCAGTGAGGGGAGCTTCACTGTGTGACCAGCTCTACGGTAGTCATCAGTGAGGGGATCCTCACTGTGTGACCAGCTCTACGGTAGTCATCAGTGAGGGGAGCCTCACTGTGTGACCAGCTCTACGGTAGTCATCAGTGAGGGGAGCCTCACTGTGTGACCAGCTCTACGGTAGTCATCAGTGAGGGAAGCCTCACTGTGTGACCAGCTCTACGGTAGTCATCAGTGAGGGGAGCCTCACTGTGTGACCAGCTCTACGGTAGTCATCAGTGAGAGGAGCCTCACTGTGTGACCAGCTCTACTGTAGTCATCAGTGAGAGGAGCCTCACTGTGTGACCAGCTCTACGGTAGTCATCAGTGAGAGGAGCCTCACTGTGTGACCAGCTCTACGGTAGTCATCAGTGAGAGGAGCCTCACTGTGTGACCAGCTCTACGGTAGTCATCAGTGAGAGGAGCCTCACTGTGTGACCAGCTCTACGGTAGTCATCTCTCTTTTTATGAGGCTGTGGGACCCTTACGAATTTAGTACTTTTCCATAAATATAATAACAACCTACTTTTTGTTATAGTGTAGGTGAATTATGGACGTAGTTTGGTAAGTAACGCAGCTGACTCAGTCATCCTGTTGGTATTAGTTTTAATACGAACTTGATAATAAACAACAGTAATATATTGTAGAAACACAGGGAGACAGTCTTCTACTTGTAGTGTCTCCGTCCTTAGCGTAGAGAAACTACCTATATTTACATTTCTCAACACTACACTACAGAACACTATACTACACTACACTTCGCTACACATCGCTACACTACACAACGCTACACTACACAACGCTACACTACACAACGCTACACTACACAACGCTACACTACACAACGCAAACACTACACAACGCTACACTACACAACGCTACACTACACAATGCTACACTACACAATGCTACACTACACAATGCTACACTACACAACGCTACACTACACAATGCTACACTACACAACGCTACACTACACAACGCTACACTACACAACGCTACACTACACAACGCTACACTACACAACGCTACACTACACAACGCTACACTACACAATGCTACACTACACAACGCTACACTACACAACGCTACAAAAAACTACACAATGCTACACATAAAACAATGCTACACTACACAATGCTACACTACACAATGCTACACTACACAACGCTACACTAACACAACGCTACACTACACAATGCTACACTACACAACGCTACACTACACAACGCTACACTACACAATGCTACACTACACAACGCTACACTACACAACGCTACACTACACAACGCTACACTACACAACGCTACACTACACAACGCTACACTACACAACGCTACACTACACAACGCTACACTACACAACGCTACACTACACAACGCTACACACACAACGCTACACTACACAACGCTACACTACACAACGCTACACTAACAGCTACATACAAACGCTACACTACACAACGCTACACTACACAAACGCTACACTACACAACGCTACACTACACAACGCTACACTACAACAACGCTACACTACACAATGTACACTACACAACGCTACACTACACACGCTACACTACACAATTGCTACACTACACAACGCTACACTACAAAAACGCTACACTACACAATGCTACACTACACAATGCTACACTACACAACGCTACACTACACAACACTACACAACGCTACACTACACAACACTACACAACGCTACACTACACAACACTACACAACGCTACACTACACAACGCTACACTACACAACGCTACACTACACAACGCTACACTACACAACGCTACACTACACAACGCTACACTACACAATACTACACTACTTCTGCATTACTACCCATGACCCATCCTCTCTGCCTACATGGTAAGAAGATGCGAACCTTTCTTCACAATATTTCACTCAAGTTGGCACTGTATCATCTCTGTAACTTAAGTATTATTAAGTGGTGAGATTGAAGCTCAGCGTGTAGCGTCTCACCTTCAGTGGTGTAGTGTGTCACTCCCACTTAATATCTTCTCTTATATAACATTTTGTTGTGTCATAGTTCTAAGCTACTAACAAAACTAACAGTGCTGAGCTACTAACGAAACTAACAGTGCTGAGCTACTAACAAAACTAAGTGCTGAGCTACTAACAAAACTAACAGTGCTGAGCTAACAAAACTAACAATGCTGAGCTACTAACAAAACTAACAATGCTGAGCTACTAACAAAACTTAACAGTGCTGAGCTACTAACAAAACTAACAATGCTGAGCTACTAACAAAACTTAACAGTGCTGAGCTATTAACAAAACTAACAGTGCTGAGCTACTAACAAAACTAAGTGCTGAGCTATTAACAGAACTTAACAGTGCTGAGCTACTAACAAAACTTAACAGTGCTGAGCTACTAACAAAACTAAGTGCTGAGCTACTAACAGAACTAACAGTGCTGAGCTACTAACAGAACTAACAGTACTGAGCTACTAACAGAACTAAGTGCTGAGCTACTAACAGAACTTAACGGTACTGAGCTACTAACAGAGCTTAACAGTGCTGAGCTAACAAAACTAACAGTGCTGAGCTACTAACAGAACTTAACAGTGCTGAGCTACTAACAGAACTTAACAGTGCTGAGCTACTAACAGAACTAACAGTGCTGAGCTACTAACAGAACTTAACAGTGCTGAGCTACTAACAGAACTTAACAGTGCTGAGCTACTAACAAATCTAACAGTGCTGAGCTACTAACAGAACTTAACAGTACTGAGCTACTAACAGAACTTAACAGTACTGAGCTACTAACAGAACTTAACAGTACTGAGCTACTAACAGAACTTAACAGTGCTGAGCTACTAACAAATCTAACAGTGCTGAGCTAACAGAACTTAACAGTGCTGAGCTAACAGAACTTAACAGTGCTGAGCTACTAACAGAACTTAACAGTGCTAAGCTACTAACAAATCTAACAGTGCTGAGCTACTAACAGAACTTAACAGTACTGAGCTACTAACAGAACTTAACAGTACTGAGCTACTAACAGAACTTAACAATGCTGAGCTACTAACAAATCTAACAGTGCTGAGCTACTAACAGAACTTAACAGTACTGAGCTACAAACAGAACTTAACAATGCTGAGCTACTAACAAAACTAACAGTGCTGAGCTACTAGCAGAACTTAACAGTACTGAGCTACTAACAAAACTAACAGTGCTGAGCTACTAACAGAACTTAACAGTGCTGAGCTACTAACAGAACTTAACAGTACTGAGCTACTAACAAAACTAACAGTGCTGAGCTACTAGCAGAACTTAACAGTACTGAGCTACTAACAAAACTAACAGTGCTGAGCTACTAACAGAACTTAACAGTGCTGAGCTACTAACAGAACTTAACAGTGCTGAGCTACTAACAGAACTTAACAGTGCTGAGCTACTAACAAATCTAACAGTGCTGAGCTACTAACAGAACTTAACAATGCTGAGCTACTAACAGAACTTAACAGTGCTGAGCTACTAACAGAACTTAACAGTGCTGAGCTACTAACAAATCTAACAGTGCTGAGCTACTAACAGAACTTAACAGTGCTGAGCTACTAACAGAGCTTAACAGTACTGAGCTACTAACAGAACTTAACAGTGCTGAGCTACTAACAAATCTAACAATGCTGAGCTACTAACAGAACTTAACAGTACTGAGCTACTAACAGAACTTAACAGTACTGAGCTACTAACAAAACTAACAGTGCTGAGCTACTAACAGAACTTAACAGTGCTGAGCTACTAACAGAACTTAACAGTGCTGAGCTACTAACAGAACTTAACAGTGCTGAGCTACTAACAGAACTTAACAGTACTGAGCTACTAACAAAACTAACAGTGCTGAGCTACTAGCAGAACTTAACAGTACTGAGCTACTAACAAATCTAACAGTGCTGTGCTACTAACAGAACTTAACAGTGCTGAGCTACTAACAGAACTTAACAGTGCTGAGCTACTAACAGAACTTAACAGTGCTGAGCTACTAACAAATCTAACAGTGCTGAGCTACTAACAGAACTTAACAATGCTGAGCTACAAAACAGAACTTAACAGTGTGAGCTACTAACAGAACTTAACAGTGCTGAGCTACTAACAAATCTAACAGTGCTGAGCTACTAACAGAACTTAACAGTGCTGAGCTACTAACAGAGCTTAACAGTACTGAGCTACTAACAGAACTTAACAGTGCTGAGCTACTAACAAATCTAACAATGCTGAGCTACTAACAGAACTTAACAGTACTGAGCTACTAACAGAACTTAACAGTACTGAGCTACTAACAAAACTAACAGTGCTGAGCTACTAACAGAACTTAACAGTGCTGAGCTACTAACAGAACTTAACAGTGCTGAGCTACTAACAGAACTTAACAGTGCTGAGCTACTAACAGAACTTAACAGTACTGAGCTACTAACAAAACTAACAGTGCTGAGCTACTAGCAGAACTTAACAGTACTGAGCTACTAACAAATCTAACAGTGCTGAGCTACTAACAGAACTTAACAGTGCTGAGCTACTAACAAATCTAACAGTGCTGAGCTACTAACAGAACTTAACAGTGCTGCGCTACTAACAAAACTAACCTTGTATTCAGCTACTTAGAACGTGAAAGAGTTATATTAATTAATAAGCAAACTTTTCTCGTAGACTTCTCTCTCCTCCTCTAACAAGCCTCATATAATAGTGTTATTAACAGTGTGCCCACTAACTTGCAGGCTCACCTTACACAAGTGCCATCAGCAGTGCCATCCTGGCACTACAGGAGACCTCCACCATCCAGTTGCTGAAGCGGAAGTGGTGGAGTGAGAGGGGTGGGGCAGGCAGGTGTAACAATGAGAAGGTAATCCCTTCTCTACCTCTTCAGTTGCCCACTTTCCTGTTTTCCAAATCAGGGAACAGGTGAGGGTAAGGGGGTTGAACCCATTGCAAGCGAGTCCTGTCATGGGTTCAAGTATCTCACGTTCTGTGGTTTGTTTACAATCCTGTTATTACGATTTTGAGTCATGATTCCTGTTATTATATTTCATTTTTATTTTTGCGCTTTTTGTTTTTTAATTTTTTGTTATATAGTCTCACGAAAGAAAAGGTAATATATATTATGACCGATAATTCTGTTTGTTCCTGTGTAATGGTTTTTAATTAGCGTCCACAAGATTTACGTGAGGTACATTATAAAGCTGCCACACTAACATCATCACTGAGTCTACCTTGGGAAGGAGCTGGGAGGGAGGGAGGTATAATATCAGTACAAGCTACGGTACAGTGTCTAGCAGATAACCATAGCAAGTGGAAAAGACTTAAAATAGTCTTAGAACATTTAATGAAGTAATTTTTTTTTTCAACACGACGGCCGTCTCCCACCGGGGCAGGATGACTCAAAAAAGGAACACTTTCACCATCATTCACACAATATTACTGTCTTCGCAGAGGTGCCCAGACATGACGGTTCAGATGTCACTCCAGACAGCTAATATCCTAAACTCTCTATAAAGTGCAGGCATTGTACTTCCCATTTTCGGGACTCAAGTCCGTCTAACCAGATTCCCTGAATCCCTTCTCAAAATATTACCCTGCTCACACTACAACAGCTCGTCAGGTCCCAAAAAACATTCATCTCCATTCACTCCTATCTAATACGCTCATACATGCCTGCTTTATGTCCTGGCCCCTTGTACACAAAACCTCTTTTAGCCCCCTCCTTCCACCCTTTCCTAGGAAGACCTGTACCCCTCCTCCCATCCACTACTGATTTATATACCCTCCAAGTCAAACCATTTTGCTCCATCCTCTCCAGATAACCAAACCACCTCAATAACCCCTCTTCACTTCTTCCATACTTCCTCCCTCCAATCTGATATCCAGTGTTTCCTTTACCTAACTCGTTTGATACCTTTATCATCTTACTCTCACCTATGTTCACTTTCAACTTTCTTTACACACCTCCCAAACTCGTTCACCAACCTTTGCAACTTTTCTTTATTATTATTATTATTATTATAATCAAGGGGGAAGCGCTAAACCCGGAGGATTATACAGCGCCTGGGGGGGGATGTGGAAGGCATTCAGGCTTAATTCGGGGAACTGGAGCACAGATCCAATTCCCTAAATCAAGAGCCCCTCACCAACATCAAGGAACCTTCCTTGAGGGGAACTTTTCTTTAGAATCTCCCAAAAGCACAGTATCATCAGCAAAAAGTAACTTTGTCAACTCCCATTTCGCATTTGATTCCTCATAATTTAATCCCACCCCTCTCCCCAACACTCTAGCATTTACTTCTTTCACAAGTTCATCTATAAATGTGTTAAACATCCATGGTGACATTACACATCCCTGTCTAAGACCTACTTTTACTGGGAAGTAGTCTCCCTCTCTCCTACACACCCTAACTTGAGCCTCATTGCCCTCATAAAAACTCTTTACAGGATTTAGTAATTTACTACTTATTCCATACACTTTTGCAACATCTGTCACATTGCTCCCTTATCCACTTTATCGTGTCTTTTCTAAATCCAAAAATGCAATGAAAACTTCCCTACCTTTATCTACATACTATTCACATATATGCTTCAATGTAAACACTTGATCTACACATCCCCTACCCACTCTAAAGCCTCCTTGCTCATCCGCAATCCTGTTATCTGTTTTACCTCTAATTCTTTCAATAATAATTTTTACAATGTCTTTTGTCCTCCTTTCCCTTATATAAAGGGAATTATACAAGCTCTCTGCCAGTCCCTAGGTACCTTCCCCTCTTTCATACATATAGTAAAGAAAAGTACCAACCACTCCAAAACTAATTCCCCCCTCCCCCTGCTTTTAACATTTCTGTCATGATCCCATCAGTTCCAGCTGTTTTACCCCCTTTCATTCTATCTAATGCCTCAGGCACCTCCCTCACACTTACACCCGGCTCTTCTTCACTCCTAAAAGATGTTATACCTTCCTGGCCAGTGCATGAAATTACTGCCTCCCTATCTTCATCGACATTTAACAGTTCCTCAAAATATTCCTGCCATCTTCCCAATACCTCAACTCCCTATCTACTAACTACCCCATTCTGTTTTTAACTGTCAAATCCATTCGTTCCCTAGGCTTTCTTAACCTATTTATCTCCAAAAAAATTCTTATTCTCATCAAAATTTGTTAACAGCGCCTCACCCGCTCTATCATTTGCTCTTTTGCACTCCCTCACCACTCTCTTCACCTCTCTTTTACTCTCCATACACTAAGTAGGATTATTTTATTTTAATACTGTACTAGTAACATTTCAAGTCTTTCCCACCTCCGATGACTCATATCACTTCAAGCTTCATTTATGTGTGTGTGTTTATATATATATATATATATATATATATATATATATATATATATATATATATATATATATATATATATATATATATATATATATATATATACATGGGGAAGTGGAACAGAATTCTTCCTCCGTAAGCCATGCGTGTACTAAGAGGCGACTAAAATGTCGGGAGCAATGGGCTACTAAGCCATTCTCCTGTATAAATTACTAAATTTAAAAAGAGAAACTTTTGTTTTTCTTTTTGGGCCACCCTGCTTTAGTGGGATACGGTCGGTTTGTTGAAAGTATATATATAATATATATGTATATATATAATATATATATATATATATATATATATATATATATATATATATATATATATATATATATATATATATATATATATATATATATATATATATGTCGTGCCGAATAGGCAGAACTTGCGATCTTGGCTTAAATAGCAACGCTCATCTTGCCATATAGGACGAGTGAAAATTTGTGTATGCAATAATTTCGCCAAAATCATTCTGAACCTAACGAAAAAAATATATTTCACTGTGTTTGGTTAGTATTAAATTACTGTAAACAAACCTAAAATATATTTAGTTGGGTTAGGCTAAAATAAATTGTTCTTGTTATAATAAGGTTAGGTAAGTTTTCTAAGTTCCTTTTGGTGCAAAATTATAAATTTTTACATCAACATTAATGAAAAAAATATATCTTTAAACGTATAAGATAAAATTTTAGAAAGGACTTAATTTTAAATGAGTTCTTGCTAATTGACCAGTTTTACATATTCGGCACGATATATATATATATATATATATATATATATATATATATATATATATATATATATATATATATATATATATATATATATATATATATATATATAATGTGACGAATAGGTAAAGTTGGTCAATTAACAAGAACTTATTTAAAATTAAGTCCTTTCTAAAATTTTCTCTTATACGTTTAAAAAAATATATTTTTTAATTTGTTAATGTAAAAATCAATAATTTTGTACCAAAAGAACTTTAGAAAACTTATCTAACCTTATTATAACAAGCGCAATTTAATTTAGCCTAATCCAACTAAATATGTTTTAGATAAGTTTATAATAATTTAATAATAAACAGAGACAATGAAATATATTTTTTACGTTAGGTTCAGAATGATTTTTGCGAAATTATTGCATACACAATTTTTTTCCTTCCTTATTCAGCAAGAAGAGCGTTGCTATTTAAGCAAAAATGCAAGTTCAACTATTCAGTACGACATTATATATATATATATATATATATATATATATATATATATATATATATATATATATATATATATATATATATATATATATATATATATATTAATATTATTACGTGTGTGTGTGTGTGTGTATGCAAGAGAAAAACTCGCATAGACAGAAAAAATACAAGAATGGTTGCCGTATATTTCGATTTACGAGTGAGGTCCTTTCAGGATGTGTTCGCAGATGACTCAGTGCTGTTGGGAGACTGGGAAGAGAAGTTAAAAATTTTAGAAGAGTTTAGAAAAGCATTTATTATTATTACTATAATCAGGGGGAAGCGCTAAACCCGGAGGATTATACAGCGCCTGGGGGGGGGGGATGTGGAAGGCATTCATTCTTAATTCGGGGAACTTGAGCACAGATCAGAAAAGCATGTAGTCGTAGATGAAGCAAGTTGAATATGAATGCAGATACGCGCAAGGAGCTTGTCCAGATCTCTTTGTAGTGTGTGTGACCTCTACACCTCCATACGCATTTAGCGCTCACCCAATAATAATAATAATGTAAATAATAGTAATAATAATGTTATAGCAAGGAGGAGCTTTGGAAGCAGTGGAGATGTCTTGTCTGAGGGCAATGTGTGGGGTAAATATTATGCAGAGAATTCGTAGATTAGGAGGCGTGTGGAAGAGGTGCGTTTAAATACTTGCTAGTGGATGGGTCCTTTGAGGATGAGGTAAATCACAAGACATGAAGGAAATAAATTTACTGTGGTGTTCAGAAGTGTGTGCGAAAAAAGAAGTTTCTTTGTATATGGATAAGCGGAAATGTATCATAGGAAGGAGGTACCGATGCTGTTGTGTGGTTGTGAGGCCTAGTGTTTGTTGTAGACTGGAGGCAGTGGAAGTGTTTTCTCTCGTAACTATGTATTGTGGAATTTGTTGCTCAGTAGAATGTGCTAAACCCTTAGGGGTTAAACAGCGCCTCTGAATATTTGTTTGTGTGGGCTGAATGTGTGTATGCATGACGAAAATATTCATATTAATTTCTCGTAAAATCTTCAGACTTGCTTGGACTTTTAATTGTGAAATAATACATTTCCCAGCTTTATTAGCACTACACCTTCCCCAGTGTCTTCGTTGAAGTGGTTGAGGGTGATAGCGAGAGGGCGCATGTCCCAGTGTTGAGTGTGACACTCGTCTCACTGCTTACTCTTGGTAACTAATGTTTCTGGTACCAGGTTCACCTTACAAGGGCCCATTGGACGTCGCCATATTGTCC